TTCAATTAGACTTAGTATGATATACCCTATGATAACAGTCAAATATTATCCACACTATCCTGTCAGAAAGCACAAAAATTGTAAGGGAATCCCTGTCTTAAGAATTGATGATGAAGGGCTGAGATGTAGCTCAGTGGCAAAGTGCTTGCCTAGTAAGTGCAAGGTCCTGGGTTCAATCCCCACGAACAAAAGAGAAAAAGACAAAAAAAAAAAATTATGATGTTCTTCCACACCAACACTGAGACTATAGTATTTTCATACCGGACATTTAAAAGGAAGCACTATGTGAATACAATATATAATAATGTCCTTTACATAAGTAGGCTATGTTTTTTGGGAGTTTTTGGGGGGAGGGTATAAAATTAATTTTTTATAGTGAAAATACTGTACAGAGGGGTTACAATTACATGGGCAAGATAATGAGTACATTTCTTATCAAGCATTATAGCCTCTTCCTTTGTTTCCCCTTCCCATCCCTTCCCATCTCCCCCCACCCCCCCACCCAATCCTCCCCACCCCCCCCACCAAAGTTGTAAAGTTCGTTTTCAACATAACGACTTGTACTTCTCATTGGTCCACCTGTATCCTTATTTAAACGACTTGCTTTTCCCCTTCCCCTCCACAAATTATAGCGACATCCAATACAGTGAAAGCAGGGGTTAGGAAATGGAAAGGCTTGGAAAAAATTATATTAAGTGAAGTAAGCCAAGCCCAAAGAAACATAGGTCCCATGGTTTCCCTTATTTGCAATATCTAGTATATGTCTGAGTCAAGCAGAAAAGGTCAGATAAGGTGATGTTAGGGAAATGAACCCTAAGATATGTATTCAAATGTTTTTTTTCTTTCATGCGATTGTTTCTAACGCATTTATAAGATTATTTCTTTGTTGCTTTGTATGTCCCTCCCCCACAGTATAACCCCTACTTTCATTGTATTTGATGTCGTTATAAAAATTCGTTTTTTGACATAACGACTTCTATATCTCATTGTTGCAATGGGTCCACCTATATCCCTATTTAAACGATTTGTTTTTTCCCTTCCCCGCCACAAGTTATACCAACATCAAATTATCTTAGCTATGGTAAACAATGCTGCAATAAATATAGTTGTGCTGGTAGCTTTAGTGTGGTCTTGTTTGTGATCATTTGGGTAAATGCCCAAAAGTGGGATTGCTGAGTCATAGAGGAGCTCTATGTGAAGTGTTTTCAGGAACCTCCATACTGCTTTCCAAAGTGGTTGAACAAGTTTACACTCCCACCAACAATGTAGTAAGGTTCCCTTCTGTCCACATCCCCTCCAGCATCTGTTATTAGAGTTCTTGATTATAGCCATTCTAACTGGGGTGAAGTGGTATCTCAATATTGTTTTGATTTGCATTTCTTTTATGGCTAGAGAGGTTGAACATTTCTTCATGTGTCTATTGATCATCCTTCTTTCATAAGCAGGCTATGTATATATATATATAATCTAGGGGCTGGGAAGGTGGCTCAGTGGTAGAGTGCTTGCCTTGCATGCATGAGGCCCTGAGTTTGATTCCTCAGCACCACATAAGCAGAAAAAGCCAGAAGTGGCACTGTGGCTCAAGTGGTAGAGTGCTAGCCTTGAGCTGAAGAGTTGAGGGACCTGATGACCAACCAAAAATAATAATAATAATCTAGGAAGACTGAATACTTATTTCTAAGGTATTCTTAATTTCCAGGACTCCAAGCTTCCTAGGAATTAGCTCATTTCCTTAAAAAAAAAAGGGGGGGGGCTAAATTACATCCTTCCTCTGAGAAAGTCCCTTAAGTGTTCACCAAAACATAAACCAGTTCTCTATATCAGCAGATGGTTCCTATTGTTTTCCTAAAGATAGTCAGCACAGTGGCTAAGATCAATTCTACAGCCAAAAATTCAGCTGTTTGAAATCTCAGGTTCCAGGTTTGGGAAAAAGTTGCTCATCTCCTGCAATTGAGCTACTTCATTTATAATTTGTGTTCTAATTTATAAGGTAGTTGGGAGGATTAAATGTTAACATCTGCATATAGTCGCTGAATAGTACCTAACTCATAGTAATATTGTTTGCTACTTACTCTCCTCCTCCTAAATTACATCTTTTTATCCAATTTAGTAAGGCCACCTATGTTGTATTTCTTGGCATTTGCTTCTCAGAGCATTATTTTTTCTTACACAGTTTGCTGGAATATTCATGGCTACCTCTGACTTTATGATAATTGTGATTTTTGTTTCCTGAAAAAATGCAATGCCTTACTTACTATTGCTTTATTTAGAATTGTAAATTTCAAAATCTATAAATAAAAAGTTTAAATAAATTATTTTACAGGAAGCAAATCCTGAATGTAAGTGCAGACTAACGACTTTTTCCCTTCCACAAAAAAAAAAAGAAATGATTTGAAATAGCCCCAAATCTGTACTTATGAATAACATTAAGTAGTATTACAGTTTTTACTTGGCTTGAAATCAGGTATTAATTACTAAGACCTGGGGCTGGGAAGGTGGCTCAGTGGTAGAGCACTTGCCTTGCATGCCTGAGGCCCTGGGTTCGATTCCTCAGCACCACATAAGCAAAAAGAAAAAAGCTGGAAGTGGCGCTGTGGCTCAAGTGGTAGAGTGCTAGCCTTGAGCTGAAGAGCTGAAGGACAGCACCCAGGCCCAGAGTTCAGGCCCCACGATCGGACCAAAAAAAAAAAAAAAAATTACTAAGACCTGAATGAGTGTGTATAGATCTGGGCTCTGTGACATGAAAATCCTATAAATCTGTACCGATTTAATTACATTAATTACATTTTTAATATTTAAATTTTTAGTACTTTAATTCACAATACTTTCAGACACTTTTTCATGAAATTGAAGCCCATTATCATAAGGTAACCATTGTATTCCAGGAATGGTACTTCTAGAAGTACCTTTCATAACAGATTTGAAGTGAAACCACCTGAAGTTTAGGAAGCCTGCCTTAGTTCCAATTGCAATCAAACATGTTAAATACATTTTATGTAAACTTCAAGGATTATATAAGGTAAAGAGACTTTTTATTGCCAATATGTTACAGATAAGAAAAAAGACAGACAAATTAAGTTTCCCATGGTCCCAGACAGTCACTGTATTGTAATACTAGGACTCAAGTCTCCATCTAATCTGTCCCATATCTAAAATAAAAAATAAATCCTAATATGACAATAAAGCCACATACATTTCAGCCTATTATTCATCATGAAAAATAAAATTATATATGTTTTCTTCCTCTTAGCATCAGTAGCACTCTTAAAAACAAAAAGCTTGCCAGATGCTGGTGGCTCATGTCTGTATCCCTAGCTACTCAGAAGGCTAAGATCTGGAGATGACAGTTCAAAGTCAGCCTGGGCAGGAAAGTCTTTGAGATTCTTATCTCCAATAAACCACCAGAAAACTGGAAGTAATGCTGTTTCTCAAAGTGGAAAAGTACTAGCCTTGAGCAGAAAAGTTCAGGACCCTGAGTTCAAGCACCACAACTGAGAAAAATAAACATTAAATTAAATTAAAATATTAAATATTAAAATCAGAGACTTAAACTTAGTTAAAATACACCTCAGGGCTGGGAAGGTGGCTCAGTGGTAGAGCACCTGCCTTGCATGCATGAGGCCCTGGGTTCGATTCCTCAGTACCACATAAGCAGAAAAAAAAAACTAGAAGTGGCGCTGTGGGTCAAGTGGTAGAGTGCTAGCCTTGAACTCAAGAGCTGAGGGACAGGGCCCAGGCCCAGAGTTCAGGCCCACGACCGGACCCAAAATAAATAAATAAATAATACACCTTAAAAATACTGTAATATTCTAAGTATTTAAATATGAGGAAAAAAATTAACAATCCCCTCTACCTAAAAACTGCACACATTTACATCAACCTATATAAAGCAGGATACCAAACTCTGCCTTAGTTCCGATTTATCTGGAGATATATATATCTATATCTATAGATATAGATATATAGATATAGATATAATTTTATAGACTGAAAATTGGAAAAGCTCCCCAAAATGAATCTAAATTGAAAAGACTGACAGGTAACCTGCTATGTATTTAACAAAATATAGCAAAAACTTTGTGGCTCATTTTCCAATGATTCCTGCAAGGATGGTACAAAGGCACCGAAAGTACAGTTAATACAAAGAAGGACAAACTTTTCCAACACTATATAATTTATTCTGAAGACAAAATGGCCACACTTGTCTCTGACAGTCCTATTAATTTTACATTTGGATATCATCTATTTTTTTGTGGTGTTTTATTTTCATTATGTGGTTGTATAAAAACTTCTCACCTATCTTTCTCCAGCCCCAATGGATCCTATCCAAACGGTTGTCAACCATTTCAAATCTATAAATTGTTCTATATACTGGTCCACAATCTATAACTGAGGCCAAGTAACATCTTTATACAAATTAGTCAAAATTATCTCTACAATTTACATTAAAGGATTAGGAGAATAAAATGGTGTTCAGCAACAAAATACTGAGCAATATTTGTTGAAACTAGAGTCTATCCCATACTTCTTCCAAAATATTTCATTTTAATGGAGGAGTACCTTTACCAGTAGCATAGAAAATGTGTGAGAGTGGGACATTACATTTCTGGAAGGGCTTAATTTTTTTTTGGGGGGGGGGGGGGGTCCGGTCGTGGGGCCTGAACTCTGGGCCTGGGCACTGTCCCTCAGCTCTTCAGCTCAAAGCTAGCGCTCTACGATTTGAGCCACAGCGCCACTTCCGGCTTTTTTCTTTTTGCTTATGTGGTGCTGAGGAATCGAACCCAGGGCTTCAGGCATGCAAGGTAAGCACTCTACCACTGAGTCACCTTCCCAGACCCTGGAAGGGCTTAATTTTTATCTTAAATCATTTAACACTTGTGAAATACAGATTTCCCAAACATCTGTCAACCAGCTTCCTCTAATGTAATACTATTAACTACAATAAAGTTATGAAAAATATAAAATTAACATTGGCTCAAACTATTAATGGTAAATCTTACCACCAAGTTGTACTATTAATGCCTTTCCCCCTGGCTCACGACATCCAGATCTCATGTTTCCTTTACTGCCGTGTTTCCTGTGAGGCACTTTTCTCTTTAATGACCTGGTATTTTTGAGGAAAAAAAAAAAAAAAGAACTCACTAGTTACTCTGTAAAATATACCCCAATTTCAATATCATTAATTGTTGTGATGAAATTGAGATCATACTTTTTTTCTGTTGGTCTTCTTTTTTCTGTAGGCCATGGGCTTGAACTCAAGGCCTGGGTGCTGTCCCTGAGCTCTTCTGCTCAAAGATAGCAATTTACCATTTTAAGCCACAGCACAACTTTGGTTTTCTGGGTCTAACTGGAGATAAGAGTCTCACAGACTTCCCTGCCCAGGCTAGCGTTGAACTATAATCCTCAGATGTCACCCTCCTGAGCAGCTAGGTTTATAGGCATGAGCCACCAGCACCCAGTGAGATTATATGTAGGTGACATGCCATATTCAGCAGCAGATCATATCATGGTCTTATTACTCGGTCTTCTACATTGTTTCTATTTTCTTCCTTTATAAACACTTTATAAACAGTTTTGAGAGATCATTTTAGAGTTTGCAAATATATGATTTTTCCTTAAATTCCCACTATACTTTTGGCATCCATTGATGAATCATGCTTGCTACAATTATTACTATTTTTATGAGGTATCTGCCTCCTGATTATACTATTTCCTGAATTCATTAATTGTAATTCAGAAATTAAACTATATCAAAAGCAGATATATTAAACTATATCAAATTCAGATATTAAACTATATCAAACACCAGAAACCACAAAAATTTTAGGAAAGTTTTTAAAAACACACAATAAAGGTACTTATTCGACAACAGAATTTCATCATCAACTATAGTGTGTAATTCCCTGAATCAGATGTCTAACAGTTCCCTTCTGAAAGAAGCAAATTGCTGATGACATCTGTCAGCATATGTATTTTATATTTAATTGTAGACAATTTTTTATTGCAAGTCATGCATCATGATGCATACTTAAGATTTTCCAAATAAAAGACCTCAACAATCTACTTTTTGTGCAGACACAGGGCACTTATACCTGAGCATTTTTGCTTAACATCAGTGCTCTACCATTTGAGCCACAGCTCTACTTCTGGCCTTATTTTGTGGCTAACTGGACATAAGAGTGTCACAGACTTTCCTGTATGGACTAACTTCAAACAGCAATGAGCCACCAGTGCCCAGCTTAGACAATCCATTTTAAAGCAGCTAATACCACAGCACATTAAGGGATAAGCATTCATCAGGAACAAGAACAATGAAGACAGCAAATATTCTTCCCCTAAAAGTCTAATCTTATTCCTCAACATGAAACCTTGCCATAGGAACATAAAATTATACTGGTAATAGTAAAGAGCAATGTCTTAGAACAGTGAGTTCTAGTACTCTGTTTTTCAAGAATGTTCACCCACAAATATGAAAAATATCATTATTCAGTTACTTTTTCACAGCAGGAAGATCTATCAATTCAATGCCAAAAGACTTAATTCTAGGTGTTTCTAAAGCTTAAGTCTAAAGGTTTAAACACTGTATTATCAACACTTTATTTTCTATTTGTTCATTAAGTATATCAGTCTGCCACTGAGTGTCAACTGGCTATTACGTAAGAGGAGTTCTACTTTTTTGTATTTATAACTACTGAAAATAGCCAACCTGTTTTATTCCCAAGCACATTTTAATACTAGAAGCAAAATCTTAATCTAATCACACTCTTCAAATAAGCTTCAATAAGTTATCAGACTCTACAGAGCCTTGCAAAAAAACATTGTATAGTATTAGTGAATAAGAAAGTGATGAACAGTACATATACAATGCCTTATTTACACAAGTCTATAAGTTTCCTCAACTACTTGAGCTGCACACTAAAAATTCAGTTTTTCTTTGGCATATTCAAGAATTTATGTTTTAGTTATTTCTGAGAAAGATATTAAAATGGCTTAGAAAATAGTCTAAGTGATATGAAAATATATTCTTGAGAGTTTGCGATCTTAGTTATAAAACTTTTGTAGAAGACACCAAGTCATTCTTTCAAGTGATTCGTTTTCATAATTGATATTTAGGTGGGAAAAAAAGATGAGAAACCAAGAAATTCCTCTCCTATTTCAAATTTTACAAATTATGATCATGGTAAGTCCTGGAAGCTATTGGAAGACTGTGGCTATAAGACATAGGGCTTCAGTTTCTGCAGTAAACTTTAATTTAAAATTTTTAAATGCACTTGGTATGAAACATGGTCATCGGCAAGGTTTTATTTAGGATATGTAACTAATGAATAAGGTTACTAGGTAAGTTGTGATAACAGTCACTTTCTAAGAACTATATAGAAATTTTATAATGTGTTAAACATATGTGGAAAGCTAACAATGAAATTTCCACCTGTATAATGCAATTTTAAAAAGTTTACAATGTGCTAAATTCATGTCTGTACATTATTTGAAAATAAAAATGTATATAAAATATTAGCCTGCTGTTTAAACACATTGATTTCTATTACTGGAATGTATTTTGGAAATATATTCCAATTTCTCATTTCTATTAATGGAATACAGTTTGGAAAAAGGAAATGGGTATGATGGTAAATCTCTGCTTAAGAAAGAAAATCACAGTAAACAACTTCCTAATTTTTCAGATCCCAAATGACCAGAGGAAAAGTCTAACCAACAGGGGGAGATACAAAGGAGAGTAGTAAGACAAAGAACAGACTACAGGCAAGAAAAGCAGTTATAATTATAGCTGGAACATGGAATTTGTTAAAGGAAGTCTACTGTATAATTATATTTGAAAATTTAGAAAGATGCCCAGAGGCTGATTCGCAGCTGTCAGGAACTGGTAACTTCTACTTCTGTTCATGCAAGACCACTTTGGCAACTAAATCCAACACCCAGCATTAGTGCAATTGACATTTAGAGTAAAGGGACAGTCTTCTAAAAGTTTTCTTCCTATATAATATATGAAGGCATCCATATCAACAAAGTGACCTTTCTTTTTAATTCTCTTTTCTTTAATTTCCTTTTACTATGTGCCTCTCCTGTATCCTTCAGAGAATCCAAAGATTAACCCAACAAAGCTATTACCCAGCTAGAAATCTTTCCTGAATTGTGGCTATATCATGATTATATAACTACACAATTTGAAATTCAGCATCCTTACAGGAAAACTCATTTCCATTTACCTTCACTTTGTTTCAAAACTCTTTCCCTTTTCCCCTACATTGTTACTCTTTCCAATTATAGCCTTAAAACTAGTTTCACTTTTTCACATTCTCCTTTAGATTTTATCTATATAAAGTCAAACTATCAAACCCTATTACTTTTTCCTTAAGTTTCTATACTTCATCAATGAAAGCTATGATAAAGTCCTAAGTTCCAGTCTCACAGAATATGACCTTTTTAGGAAATAGGTCTTTACAGAGGTGATAACCCAACATAAAAGACTATCCTTATTCGAGACAGGCAGGCAGGCAGAGAAAAAGTGAGACTGAGACTGAGACCAGGGACAGAAAGAGAGAGAGACACAGAGAGAGACAGACAGAGACAGAGAGAGGGAGGGAGGGAAGAAGGGAGGGAAGGAGAGAGAAGAGAGGGAAGGAGGAAGGAGGGAGAGGGAGAGGGAGAGAGGGGGGAAGAAATTTCAACACAGACACTAAGAAGGAAGATTATGCGACAACATATAGTTTTTGGAACTTGTATGTTATAGCAGTGTTAGTCCATGTTTTGTTATTGCAACAAAATGGCAAGAACTGGTTGATTCATGCACAATACAAATATATTTGTCTTTGTTTTGGAGTGAAATCCAAGAGCATGGCACTAGTATTTGATAAGTACCTTCTTATGTTGTTGTGTGTGTACCTGTAAATAAGGTAGAGGAAAAAATGGGGCCTAAACTTATCCTTTCATTAGAACCCACTCCTATAGTACCAGCATTAATCCCTCAACCTAATCACATCTTGAACTGTGGCAAATACTCAGAGAAAACTTCTTTAACAAGCTGACATGTAATAAAGACTTAAAAATAATGGAGAGGGAAGGCCTGTAGATAACTGAGGAAAGGGTTTCCAGATAAAGGGAAGAATAAGTGGTGGTCTGAGGAGACTAACAAGGCTGGAAGATGGTGAAGATCTTGAAGGTGAGGATTCTGTGACTATAGTAGAGGAGAAGGAAAAAAAAAATAGTACAACTAAGATCTTAGAGAAGGCCATATGACAACAGACAAATGCACAGGCATGTTCATAGGTGCATGGCTCAAAAGATATAAACTGCTCAAGATATCATCAATAGTTGAAATATTTAGTCATAAATTTTTAGCCATAAAAACTATTGATACATGATAAAATATTGATACTTGTTAAAATGTGAATGAACCTTGAAAACATGTTTAAGGAAAAAAAAGCATAAATCAAAAATAACTTTCTACTATTATTCTATTTATTTCAAATATTCAGCACAGATAAATCCATAAAAACAGAGAGTAGAAATCTCCTTTTGGGGAGAGGCAAATGTTTTAGAACTGGATTGAGGTTTGTGCAATTCAGTACATGTACCAAATGTCATGCAACTGTTAATTTTATGGAATCCTATCCAAATGAATAAAGTTAAAATTAAGCCATTATATCACCAGTCGTAGTACAACATGGAACACAGATATGATACAAAGTATACAGAAGAGATCACCTCTATAGTTCCTTCCTGAATAATGTATAACCTCAATCTGATCATAAGAAAATACCAAACAACATATTTTACAAAATAACCAAATTATTTGAACATATCAAAAATATGAAAGACAGCAGACTGAATAACTACATATAGGGAAGTTAAAATGACATGACAACTGAAGGAATATGAGTTGCCTAGACTGGATTATGAAACAGGAAAAAAGAACTATTGAGAAAATGGGTGAGACAGAAGTAAGGTCTGTGAGTTAGAAGCACTGTACTTACTTTTGAAATGTATAACATGCTTATATTAAGATATTAACATTAGAGAAAGTTAAAGTATATTATTTCTGTAACATTAAGTTTATTTCAAATTAAAAGGTATAAACAATAAGAG